TGAAACAAAAGGTCATTTAAAAGTATTTAGTTGCCACTATCTCAGAGTAGGGTTTCCATCCAGTGTGTGCACGTGTGTGTGCGTGCGTGTGTGTGTGTGTGTGTGTGTGTGTGTGTGTGTTAGGTATATGGATGTTCATTGTACTATCCTTTAACCTTTCTTTACATTTGAAATTTTTCATCATTGTAAAGTTGGGTAAAATTAAGCTGAAAAGTATTAGTCACTAACAACTTTTTTCTCTTGGCTATAAACAGGTAACTAGTTACTAAGATTCTATACCAAAAAGATCCATGTAGAATGATTTAAATAAACAAGTCTTGTAATAGTCTAAAGATGGGCAGGCACTCGAGGGGGGCAAGGCTCTGCAACCTGGTTGGTCAGCTCTGCCACCCCTCAGTAGGTGGCTTCTGCCTCCAGACCGAGGGCTGCCGCCACAGTTGTTGTCATGTTCAGCCAACAAGAGACAGGAAAGAGGAATTCCAGGCATGCTTCTAAGGCACTGACCCCAAAATACAGATATATTTCTTCTCACATCCCATTGACCCGAACTTATTTATGTTGCCACAAGTGTCTGAAAGGGAGGCTGGGAAACGTAATCTGGGCAACCAGGTGCTGGTACCACAGTGAAATACCACATGCTCAGCTCAACATTGCAAGGCATTGTGGGGAGGGGAGGAGTTCTGTTAGAAAGATGGAGAGAAGAGGTGCTAGGAGACAGGAGTTTAATTTTAATGGTTCCAATTTTACATTTATTTTTCTTCTTTAGAGCAGTTTTGCATTCTAATAATTTTCTTGTCTTTAAAATATGATCTCAAAATGAATGACTTCAAGAGGTAAAGAGTTCTTGGACACTTTAGCAGCCAGAGAGATGTTCTGAATTAGGTCTTTTCCAAGGTAACTATAATAAAATCATATGCATACTAAGAAATATTTAATATATACAGTAACTTCTTTCCTTATCTTACAGTAAGACAATTATCTATCACACTTTGTCCTTACTTTTTCAGTCACTTGAAATTATTTGAAAATCATCAGGGTCATAGTTCATTCATCAGCTGTTAGAATCCTCGACTGGAAGTCCATGTGAAATTAAATCAGGTGCCAATGTAAGTAGAGGCAGTGAGGTATCTCAAGGAGCATCATGGAAAAAGAGAGGTGAAAGCATTTTTCTTTGATCACTAACGAAGTTCTTCATCTAAGGAATGCTTTCCACTCAAAAAAACTAGGCTTCTTCCTGGTGCGGGCAGAAGAGGAAACGTGGTCACTGCTGCCACAGGGCAAGGTTCAGGCTGGAGAGTAGCCCTTTCTGGGCCACCCACCCTTGTCTCCATATTACCTATCGGTGTCCCTTGGGGTGTAAGGGACAGAAACCTTGCTCAGATTAGCCTACATACATAAGGGAAGGTATTGGCTTCTAGGCAGCTCGGTGGGAAGGATACTGGCAGAGCTTATAACATCAAAAATAGAGCTGCAAGAACCAAGGCCTCAGGTACTGACAAGAGATTCGACACTGCTAGGATGCTCCCTCTCATCTGTCTCAGCTTCTATGTGTGTATGTGCAGAGGGCTTCTTATGAGGTGAGCATGGCTGCCTCATCAAAAAGCGAGAACCTCTTTATCCTCTAGTCAGTATAGCCATCCCAGGGAAGGCCTCTGATTGGATCTGATCGGGTCACGTGCCCACACAGAGAAGAAGGTGGATAGGAAAGCTATCTGGGAATGTTGTCCATGACACCCTTTTCCTTCCCAGGTTTGAAGGATTTTGACATCCCCAAGCCGCAATGACCCAGGGTACATATTCTGTGAGCAGACAGGGGTGGTGTCTCTTTGTGTTTTAAAACCTCTCCCTTCCAAGTGGTACTAGAGCTACACTTAGGCTCACAGTGGCTTCCCAATCCTGCCCAAGCCTGAGACACACAAAGAAGAGAAACCCTGAATGTGTACTCCATGTTTCTGTTGCTTTACAGACCATATTTTTTTAGCTACTCTGCCACTCTGTCCGTCACAACACTGTTGAAAACAACACAATGTTTTATGATTGCTGGTATAATTCTGACTTTGTTCTTTTGTTTTTGTTTTTAAAACACTGACAATAAAAAATGAAAGGCTGAGGGAGGAGGGTTATCACTTTGTGAGGGGTGTAAATGTCTCATTAGTACATTGTTTTGTACACCTGAAATTAAAAAGAAAATTTTAATGAAAGGCAATGGTAGGACACCCTAAATTCAACCAACTTGTCACTGTATCTCATGTATTTGAAATGGGTCACCCATTTTTAGTAAATGAGAATGATTCTCAAAAGTTAGTAGATTTTATCCAGGCTGGCATTAGATCTGCATACAAATTTTGGTATAATTTCCCCCAATTTTACAGTGGAAATATCAGAGGAAAGTGAGAAGATATATGAATGAGCCTGTAATGTAGCAAGGAAAATCTCTATTGACATAGAGAAATATTCAAAATATAGTGCTAAATGGAAAAGTAAGTTGTATACATCTATGTGTAAGTATGTAAATACATAGCTCTTTAGAGACGAAAACAGTGAAATACACCAAATTTTTTAACAGTGATATCTTTGCAAGATGGGATTGTGGGTGGGTTTAGCTTTTTTCTTTGTTTTTGCAAGGTTTTCCACATTAAATGTGTATTTTTCTAATTGAAGGAAAATTTCACTTGGGAAACACACAAATCTTTGAGCACACATCTACTCATATTTTTTGCAGATGTGGGTAATATAAGTATGAAAAGAATAAGGTAAGACACTTGGGCTCCAGCGCGAGGCCAGCCGCTGCCTGACCTTGGACTTAGGGCCTGGGTCCTAATCTGTAGAATAAGGGCTTAAAGTAGATCAAGGACTGGTCAGGCCTCAGACTCCTACCCTCTAAATTATAAGAATGCTGCAGTTTGATTTGTTGGAAAAGCTATTCCATGTAGAGTGAGTGTGGAGTAGGGGAGGCATCAGCATTGCTGAAGGTGTATTAAGAGTCACATCGTAAAAAAGAAAAGTGATCTGAAATCTTTTTTAAAGTTACCATGTTAGGTATTTTGTCATCTTCCAATATTTGAAATTTGCATTTGGTGGCTGTTATTTATTAATACTTACCTAAAAGTGAATTACTATGAAAGCCTCATTATTCTGAACAATATGCAATTTTTACTAAGAAAATTCCCATTGAGCATGTGACAGTTGGCCTCTGTTGGCTAACACACAATAACAAACTTACTGCAAAATTTACCTTTGGCCCCGATGCTGATGAGGGAGGAAAGAAGCCGGCAGCCAAGTGCTCCCAGGCACTCTGCCCTCCCATTTTCATTCAGTGAAAGCAGGGAGGTCATTCAAGAGTGAATGCACTCTTTATGCATGTGGGAAAGGGAGCTGGGAGCCAGGCTGGAGAAAGGAGCCCATCTGGCACTGCCCGTCAGCCCTGCCTGCAACCAAAAGGCTATGTCCTCACTGGCCAGCGTCCCGATGCCAGGGAGAACATGCCATTCTCGAATCCCATGCCCCGTGTGAGAGGAAATCTGTCAGAGTCCACTGCTTGTATTAAATTCAATACATTTGGTGAGTGGATATAAAAAAGAAAAAGGATTTGAGATCTGGTATTTGCATCTGATAAATGCAAGGGGCTGATGGAAAATGTTACTGCCACCACGCTGTGTTTGATTTGGGACCACAAAGATGAGCCTTTGTTGAAACAGGCCCCACTGTAGAAATTTTCCCTTCAACTTGCCCGAGGACTCCAGTAACTCGCCAAGAAAAAGATGAGCTAGCTGCCAACACACTCCTTTCTATGCAGCATGCTGATGGCTGCATTTTCCTACACAAACCATGTCATAAACGGTGGTTACATTCCATGGGGACCCACAGAACCCAATTTAATAATGCTGTTTGCTATATGTTTGGCTTAAAAACCAGTTCAACAAGACTATGGGTTGACAAACTTTTGTTAAGACTTGTGTGGGCATCTGATTTCTATGGGGGTGTTTTTTTTCCTAAGAATTTTACAAGTTTAGTGCTTACATTTAGGAAAATATAGTCCTAGTTCCCAAAAAGCTTAACTGAACTTTCAGCAAATAAACTCTTCGTAAACTGGGAAATTACTGTGCTTCTTAAATTTGTCATTTTTATTTCTTTTCTAGAATTGTATCTTTATCTTGTTTTATGTCCGCTTGTTCCTTTGTGTGTATGTGTGCCTACGTGTATGTGATTGCATTCTAATCTATGTCATGTTATCAGTGTTAAAGAAGCCCCTGTAAGGAAATCTTATCAGGAGTCTGAGGACATGTTGAGCTGCTACAGCTCCCTCTCTGATATCTCCTTTTATTGACTTAGAAGTCTTATTTTGACTTATGGCTCCTTGGCAGAGACCTTGTTCTCATTATACTGAACTGCACCAAGGATATCGTCAGCCCTCAGTAAATATTTCATAACAAAAACGTCCCCACTTATCAGACAGTATGCAAAATGAGCTGGTCATTCCCTGTGTGTCAGGCAGAAGTGGTCTTAGCGGGACAAGAGAAGGGTCTGCTTGATCCAGGAAGATGCTCCAAGCATAAGCTCGGTCTGAATTACCTGTGAGTCTCTTGTGCAGCCTATTCCTATGTAAAACGGGTGTGAGATGACCACCGAAACACTTTTTTCTGCTGCTTAGATCCAAATTAACACCACGAAGAAAAATGGAAACTTTAATGTATTTCTAGCCTGCTTCGTTCCCCAAAGTATGATCTCAACAGGTTTCTCTCCTCACAGGCGTCCCTGCCAATGACAAGAAAGATGTGCCAGGAAGCTGCAAAGGGCTGTGAAACAGAAAGAGGGGCGCTCATTTTCACTTGGGGGGGAGGAGAATGTGAAGGGGCTCTGAGCTGGTCCTTGAAAGATGAGCAGGATTTTGAAGAGAAGCAGAGAAAGGACAAGTCAGGCATGGAGCAGCATGTGCTAGGTCAGAGGGACAGGACAGCTCCCATCTTGTTAACTCCTGGCTGCCCATCTTTGTGTTTCAGAGGAAAGCCAGCCGGCACATAAAAGGTGATGACAGGAACAAAGCCACCAGCAGGAGCATCGGATCGGACACGGCCACGTCACAGTCACAAGCTACAGAGAACAGGAACCCCCCTGAGGAGGGCCTCCTGTCTCCGAGAGAATGCTGGATGAAGGACGAGAGGCCAACACACTACAGCAGCTTCTCCGGCTTCAGCAGCAGTGACAGTGTCCTGCGGGAGTTAGACGACGGACAGTTGGACCAGGAAGACGGCGTAACTCAGGTCACTTGCATGTGAGCGCTGATGGAAAGCAACAGGAGGCCCTATAAATAACTATTAAAATAACTGCCAACTGACCCTACTGTATAATATTACTTTATCTGCATTTATGTAATATTTTGAATTTTTTCAGACTCAGGCTTTCTTCTAATCTACATAAACTTTGGCTCAACCTCTTAGACCAGGAAGAATAACCAACATATTTGTAAATTTAGAATCATGTTTACACTTCCCTCGACTAAAAACATCTGTTTAAACAGATGTCTCATGAGGTTATTAACCAATCATCTACTTCAGTTTCTCACGAATGTACAAGGTGTACTTTTCTTACAATTCCTGGTAAGAAAACTGAATATCTCAACCAGTATTTTACCTAATTAGAAAGTTCTCAGGAAGTTAGAGTCTTACTTACGCTGAAAAATCATGTCTGTCTCCCACCCCCCACACACCCATACACACAAAGGGCTAATTAGTGAAGTGCCTAGTGCCTGAATATAACAACTAATCCAAATTTTATCTTTAACTATGATGTATATTTCCAAACACCTATTTGTTACAATAGTCTTTGAAAAAAAAATCCTTTTTGTATGTCTTTGCTTTTAAAGGGTCACCATGTTACCAACCCTATACTGAGTCATTGAGCTTAAGCTTTGTTATTTCTAATAGCCTAGAAACAGAGCAAGCAGAGCAGCATCCCGTAACACTCAACACGGAGAGAACCCACAGTCTCGACAGAAAGAATTTTCTTTTTTATAAATTGCAAATACTGTAATATGAAAAAGGAAAACATCAACTTTAAATGGAAACTGAAGCCATCTACATCGGTCTAGATTTGAGTTATGCTTTTATTGTGATTGCTAAATCATGGAGAATGTGGAAACTCAGCATTTTTCATCCTGCAGGATTAGAAACGTGCTCAGAGCACACGCGATCTGTCTGGGGACCTAACTGTTCCATCTGGGCTTTGCGTGCTAACAGGGATGTCTATGCCTTGCCCAGACTGTAACAGGTAAAGATGAAAGTGCTATAAAATAGAGGATTTTCAATGATCTATGAAAGGCTTACTCTGAAATGTGGGAACCTTCAAGTGAGTTACAACTGATTTTGCCATTGATGAATTCAGCATATATATTTTTATTAGCATCGGTGTTGACATTGTTAAGATCATTTGAATAATAAAATGTCATTTGTTATTTGGCTATCATTTTATTGAACACAAATGCTCATAACGTTTTATACACATGACAGATATGTATTATGTGTTATCAAATATATAGTGTAACTAGGCCAATCTCTATGAATTGTTAAGATTACCGTGGAATTACTCCACTTCTACCATGCCGAAGCATCACCTCTATAGGTATAAAGGAGCCCAGGGAAGGTACCCAGAAAGATCAGTTTTCCCAGTGCCAGGGTCCATAAGAGGTAGAGACTCCTGTATCATCGTGTCAGTGTACAGAGGGGATTTGAAGTGTTAAAAGCAGAGATAGAAATTTGTATTTGACTAAAGGAACAGTTTGCTTTTAATCTTTATTTCTTATTAAAAAAAACCTCTGTATTAGAATAAACTTAGCAGTCATATCCTCAAAGCCTATTTCATAAGCATTTAATTCAACAATTACCCTTAAGTTAAATGGCAGATTTATATTATAGTGAATAAATAATGACTGAGTGGTTCTCAAGTATTATATATAAGTATATGTAGCTCTGAGTCTATTCTTAAAAAAAAAAAAAAGTAACAAAACTTGGACTCTATATGCCTAAGAAGTTAAATGTGACTAACCTTATCATTATCTGTCAGTTGTATATTCAGTTCTTTTCATAACACTATGTAATTCCTTAGGGGCTCTGGCATGTGAATTTTTTTATATACCTATAAGTTATGATAAAAAAGTATCAAGATCATAGATGTGGGTGTGACGTTCTACCATTCCCCTTGGTACAGAATCTATGGCAGTTCTACCTTCAGTTCTGCTAAGGAGCAGCTCTATCAATGTCACTACAGTTGTCTTCAGTGTGAGATGCATGGAAAGGTCACTCTCTTTAAGACACTCCAGGGCTTGCAGGAGTCCCCAGACACCCATAGAAACAGGAGGCAGAGCAGTAGTCAATCTAAGTCACCACCAACCCCAGTGATTTGTTTTAGCAGGAACAGGTGTTTAGAAATATGAATACATATAAAGGTACCAGACGCATTTTCATTTTTTTTCATTCTGGAAGAGGTGAAGAGCTGTCTCATTTTCCCAGCCTTTCCTCACTATCTGATTCTTCACTACTATTCCCTTGGGCAGGGAGGCCATGGCTCTTTTAGCATAAGACTAAAAATGATTTCCTTCTCTCCACTCCTCAGATCTCTCAGTAGCTCTGTCTGGAAAGACTATTTTGATTGAGAATTCAAATGGAGTAGTTGCTGACAGTGGGGAGTATATAACCAGGCATGTTAAGTCAAAATTTACTGGTGGGTATAGAGGGAAACAAGCTAAACACAAATGATCAAAACTTATGGCACATCCATTGAAGTAATATTTGTTGTGGTGACTTTTCATACCTTGAGAGTGAATTTTACTTTTGCAAAAGCCCAAAGTGTATAGAGCCAGTTCTGACAGATTTGATTAAGTTCTAAGACGCTGTCTGAGGTGGAAAATTCAGCAATACTGTAAAATAATCAGCCTTGTTTCTGGCGAGGCTTATAAACATTTTGTGGAGACAATTCCAAGAATGCTTTGAGCATTAAAATCAGTGTATGTATCAGTATCAAGGTGATTCTTTTCAGGCTTATATCAGCCAGCAGTCTTAGCTGCAAGCAACAGAAGCTGACCTTGGCTCATATCAGTAAACGAGTTTATTTCAAAAGATATCTAGAATTGGACTTCATCAAAATTTAAAACTTCTGTTCATCAAACTCACAGTTTTAAGATAGGAAAAACAAACCACAGACTGGGAGAGTATGATTGCAAAGCACATACCTGACAAAGGATTCATATCAAAAATATATAACTGGCTCCTATAAATCTATAATAAAAAGACCCAGCATCTAATTATAAATGGGCAAAAGGCTTGACCGGACATTACATGAAAGAAAATACAGAGACGTCTGCTCCAGAAAGATGAGTCAATTATTCCCATGAAGTAGAACTAAAAACCCTGAACATTCTATCTCAAACAAACGTAAGATGACCAGTGATGAGTTCCTTGGTTTTATTTTTGCCTCAGGTATCTGACTTGGGAACTGAAGAAGCCAGCAATATAGAAATGCCAATGTTGCCGACCAAAAGAACCCTAGCAAGACAGCACATGTTTAGACAATAATTGCTGTACTCCAGCTAAACACTACAGAAAACCCTCTCCCCCGCCACCTACCCCAGCAGAGCATGTGGGAAGCCTAGATTTCCACCCCCACAAGGCTACACCCGGCCAGGCTGATGTCATAGGACAGGCAGGAGGTGGGGAATTTCATCTCCACCGGCCAGTAAGAGCCCCCCAACCCTCACCCCAAGGAGTTACTGGAGATCATGTAGGGAGCTTGGACTTCACCCCTATGGGGGAGTAATGAGGCATCTCTCTCCCTCCCCACTGGGTGGTATCAGGAGGCTTAGTGGAGAGTCCTCCTGACTTTCACTGCTGCCCAGCAGTAAGGAGGCTACTCCCACCTAGGAAGCTGAAATGCCCACCCTTGCCCAGCAGTAGTGAAGAATGCCCCCCTCAGGTCAACAGAGGCTGAGTGAGGAACCTGGTCTTCTAGCTCCACCTGGCAATAACTAGGCAGCGCCCACAACACCCTGCTGGAGTAGTGTCAGTAAAAGCCAACCAACAGAGATTCAGTCTCACAACGTAATATGAAAATGCCCAGGTTTGAATAGAAAAGTATTCATCAAACCAAGAATCAGGACTGGCCGAGTGGCATGTTGGTTAAGAGCTGGCTTGGGACACCAGAGGGCCCCGGTTCAGATCCCACATATGAGGGCCAGTGACACTGCCCTCTGCCTCGCCTGGGAAGAGCGCAATGATGGTGCCAACTTGGGCCAGTGAAGCAACATCCTCCACAACTAGACTGAAGAACAAAAAAGGCCAGCAACTTGTCTGTTCCCCTTCCCCCAATTCCCCAATAAAAAAAATCTTAAAAAAAAACAACCAAGAATCAGAAAGATCCCAAACTAAATGAAAAAGACAATAGATGCCAACAATGATAGTGACATCAGAATTACCTTTAAAAGATTTAGAGCACATATGAAAATGCTTCAACAAGCAATTAAGAACGTGCTTACAGCAAATGAAAAAAATAGAAAACATCAGCAAAGAAATAAAAGTCTCAGCAAAGAAATGGAAGACATAAAGAAGAGCCCAATGGAAAGTTTAGAACCAAGAAATATAATGACCAAAATAAAAGGCTCAGTGGATGGGCTCAACAGCAGAATGAAGGGAACGAAAGAAAGAATATCTATGAAAAAGAAGGTAGAGCAATAGAAATTACCCAATCTGAGCAACAGAGAGAAATGGGCTTAAAACAAACAACAAAACCCTAGATCCTTCGGGACTTTAGACTGTAACAAAATAACAAAAGATCTATGTCATTAGAGTTCTGGTGGAAGGACTGAAGGAAGAATGGGGCTGGAAAAGTGCTTGAAGAAATGATGGCCGAAAACCTCCCGACTTTGGTAAGAGACATCAGTTTACAGATTCAAGAAGGTGAAACTAATCTATAGTGTCAAAAATCAGCCAGTGGCTGCCTGTGGCAGAGGGGTCGGGCAGGAGCGGCTGCTGTAACAGAACTCCATAGGCTGGGTGTCTTATAAACAACAGACATTATTGCTCACAGCTCTGGAGACTGGGAGTCCAAGCTCATGGCGCCCCAGCAATTCGGTGCCTGGTGAATGCCTGCTTTTTGGTTCACAGGTGGCCGTCTTTTCAATAGAACTCTGCATGGTTACATTGAGAAGAGCTCTCTGGGGTCTCTTTTATAATATTTGGGTATGAATCCCACTCATGAGGCCTCCACTCTCATGAGCTAATCACCTCCCAAAGGCCCCACCTCCTAATATCACATTGGGGGTTAGCATTTCAACATAGGAACTTGGGAGGGGCACCTTCTGTATATAGCAACTACAGCGGCCACATGGGAACTGTCTGGGGTGACAGAAATGTTCTGTATTTTTATTTGGATAAAAATAGCACAAGTATAGATACAATTGTCAAAGCTCATTAAACTGTATACTTCAGACAGGTACATTTTACTATTTGTAAATTACATTTTCATATTAAAAGAACTATTTATTGGAGAAGGCACAGACTTGCTGGGAGCACCAAGCTGCCTACACAAGAGAACGAGCCTGCTGCTGCTGGTCCCCAGCCCCGCTGCCAGGAGTCCAGCTTTCTAAAGTACAGCTGCAGCTTTCTGCAGGACCCTGCTGTACCCCCCACCCAAATCTTTCTGCTGCCACCTTTTGAGCAAAATTTGTGCCCTCAGCTCAGCTTTCTTCCTCTCATGACTCATTTGCGAATCAGTCTCATGTGTGAGCTGTGCTCTAGCTTGGGAAGGGGTTTTCTGGGTTCTGCAGAATGCAGAGTATGAAGGCTTTGAGTATGCTGAGCAGGCAGAACTCAGCCGGTTCAAGATTCTCCAAACAGAGCACATATGTTTATTTATGTTGCCATGTCAGGTTTGGATTGGGCTTTTAACCAAATGATCAAAGTTACCATCACCAATAATGGAACAAACAACATGCTGTGATTCTTGAAATGATGTGCTGAGAAGGACACATCACTTCCGTGGTGTTCCTGGCAAAAAAAAAAAAAAAGCACAACCTGAATGTAATCATTAGGAAGCATTAGACAAACCCAAACAGAAGGACACCTTATAAAACAACTGGCCTTTAAAAATGCTAAGGTCATGAAAGACAAAGAAAAGCTAAGGAACAATTCCACATTAAAGAAGGCTAAAGAGACATAACAAACTACAATACGTGACCCTGGGTTGGATCCTAGGTGGAGGAAAGGGGCGGCTGGTGTGTAAATATGAGGTTATGTGACATAAGTGGGACTATAGACTGTAGATTAAATAATATTGTATTAATGTTAAATTAGATTTTTTTTTACTATACTGTGTCTATGCAAAAAAGATTCTTATGAAGTATCCACGAAAATATTTAGGCGTAAAGGGATGCCTGCCACTTACTCTCAAATGATTCAGAAAAAA